ACCCGAAACCCTAAACGCTAAACCCCAAACCCTAAACCCTAAACCCTAAACCCTAAACCCTAAACCCCTAAACCCTAAACCCTAAACCCCTACAAAAGCCAACCTGACGCCTCCAACAAAAACGCATATGCCGACCTCTCGGACTCGGCTAAGTCCCGCTGCGCCTCCACCTTCGCAGAGAAAGTTAAGGGAAATCGATGTGTATATTGTGTGTATGTATGTATGTATGTATGTATGTATGTATGTATTCTATTCGCTACATTTATTTATATCTGCATTAACCTTGAGATTGATCTATCTATTTTTATTTCTTGATTTACTTCGTATTATACTAATGGTAAAATCATGAAACTTAGTCTTCCAACTCTTTGGCTATCTAACTAAAACCCTAAACCCTAAACCCTAAACCCTAAACCCTAAACCGTCATGAGTTGCACCAACAGTACCCCAAGACACGAAGCCGACCTCGGAGTCCCCCGACCCCAACCCCCGCCCCACCCAAAAAAAACAACAGCAAACACAAATCAACAACACCCGGCTTTGTGTAAGCATATGGTTTAGGGTTTAGGGTTTAGGGTTTAGGGTTTTGTAGTTATATTATGTCATACTAAGATGGCCAGGGGAACAGTTTTCCGAATTGTTTAGGCTTCTATATTAGCCAAAACAGGGCCCAACGTCTCTGCCTCGCGACGTTTTGCCTCGGCTTTGAGGCGGGCCTGGGCACATGGTCATCGTCTGGAGACTTGGGGAAAATGTCAAAAAGGTGCGGAATCCCCTGGCCTCTTCGTTCTGCTGACGAAGCTGAGCCTGGCAATTGAAGAGGCCCACATCTCCCTAACTTCGGGGCACATTGTTGTGTTTACCCATATGTCCCATAGTAGTTCCTGTTTGTGGCTTATATTTAGGATCCTATTCGGGAATCCCAAAAAGGAACGACTATGGGGCCTATGGGTATCAGCTAATCCCTAAACCCTAATCCGTCAACCCTAAACCCTAATCCCTAATCCCCAAACCCTAACCCCTGATCCCCAAACCCTAACCCAAAAACCCTAAACCCTAAACCCTATCCCTTAACCCTTATAACCCTGATGCCTCAACCCTAAACCCTAATCCCGCAACCCTAAACCCTAATCCCTAAACCCTAATTCTTCCACCCTAAACCCTAATACCTCAACCCCAAACCCTAATCCCTAAACCGAAATCCCGAAAATTGGAACCCGGAACCGAAATCCATTTGGCCGGAGCAGGGTTAACGTTTACTGACAAGGCTCCTTCGAAGTGTTCCTCATCCCTCGGAGGGTTGCATAATAAGGGCCTTCTGGGGTTTAGAGTTTAGGGCTTTCAGAATAGTTCATCAGGGTTTTGGTGCTTTCTTGACGATGAGAATAGGACTTTGAGTCATACTAGACCATAATTATGCTTGGTGCTATATCAGGAACGCAGGGGACTTTTTAATGCCACCCCCAAAACAAATCACTAATGTACGTTACTCCAGAACCCGGTTGGGTATTTCTTGAATGAATTAAGGTCCCTTTATAGGTCCCCAATGTAGTACGTCACCCTTATAAACAGAAACTTGAGAGGGACCGTAATTTAGACAACTACCCAGTTATGCTGACAAGTCTCATCTAATGTGCACAGCCATGGGGTGCAACAGGGGTGCTGCTTTGTGCGGCCAGGTTCGTTACCCCAACTCCCTGGGACCCAACTATCGTTTAGAGTTTAGGGTTCCGGTGTAGGGTTTAGAGTTTAGGGTTTAGGGTTCAAGGGTTTAGGGGGTTTGGGGCTTGATTGAAACCTTGTTTGCGGCAAACATTGACCTACATTACTACTTTCCTAGGCCCAAGAAAGCTCAACATCAAACACACTGAACCCTTAATACTTACCCCCCATGAGCAGAAAGAATCCTACAACCATCTTTCGCCAACCCTTTTGAACCCTGAAACCCTAAGCCATAAACCCTGAACCCTTACACTTTTGGGTTCTTTGCGAACTTAGAGAGGACAATCCTGAACCCTGGAGCTGCAAAAGGGTTTAGGGTTTAGGGTTTAGGACATAAAATTCCAGCAGTATTCCTTGTAGGGCTCCTTCTTACAATTATAGTATAGTATACACCAAACCCCTGTTCTAATTGTTGAGTGTACTCCTGATACTACGAAGTGACAGGGTCTTGGGGTTGAGGTCCTCGGGTTGAAGTTGGGTTAAGAGTGAATCCTCCACCCTACAACCCAAAAGTGTAGGGTTTAGGGTTTAGGGTTTAGGGTTTAGGGGACACCAAACCCGAATACCCCAAAACCCCCAACCCCCCCCCCCCGTCCCCACCCTCCCCCACGCCCCTGAAAAACGGCATGCCTCCATTTGCGCCACCTCTTCGGGACTTGGTCCCTGCTCGACAACCACCTTCGTGGAAATGGAGACGTGAGCGATTAGGGTTCAATGGTTCGCCCTAAAGTAGACCCTAGGAACAGTGAATTCTGTGGGTTGGGTGATGAGAAAGTCGCCTCCTCGCCTTGCGCTAAATCTAAAGGATTTCCATGGTAAAGACCGTGGCGATCCGTGGGAGTTACAGGCAACATAAAATAAGTATCGGGTTTGTATGGGGGGGCTGTGGGGGCTTATCAGGAGTTTAGGGTGATCTCGGTTGAAAGGTACTACTTCGAGGTTTTGTATGTGATCTTCAGGATGCTAGATATTCCGGGTCTATACAAAGGGTCCCACGGAATCGTCAGAGCTAAGACGAAAAAAGGCCGCAGCACGGTGTCCAACTGCCGAAATTGCGTGCAACACAGCTTACATAAGAACTCCTGCACCACTGGGACATTAACATGCCCTAAACCATGACCCTAAACCCTAAACCTAAACCCTAAACCCAGCAAATTTCTTGCGTTCGAAGACACCTCTCTCTCGACGATCTTCTCGACGATTTTGTCCACATACCTTAGTTTGCAGTGGAGAGCTTAACGTGCGCAACGCAGGGGCCTTTAACAATTAGGCAGGAGATCATAGACTCACCATTATACCCACAGGCCCCAAAGTAGTTCCTTTTTGGGATTACCTTATAGGATCCTGAATATAAGCCACAACAAGGAACTACTACGGGGCCTATGGGTATGGAACACTTCGGAACAGAATTTAGGGTTTAGGGCTAGCATGCATAAACCTGTGAGGGAATAGTATTTCAAAATTCTTGAGGCTACTATATTGATGATTACCGCGAAAGAGCGGATAGAATAATTCATTTAATGAAATATTCTGTCCGCTCTTTCGCGATATGTCGAGGGCGATGTGATTTGTTTCATGGACTGCAAAGAAGTAAGTCCTAAACTCTAAACCCCAAACCCTAAACCCCAAACCCTAAACCCTAAACCCCAGACCCTCAATCCCAAACAGTAATCCCTAAACCCCAAACCCCAAGCCCTGAACTCTAATCCAGTCAACCCATTGAACAAGGAATATACCCTAGGATCCCTTCAGGTTTAAGGTTTAGGGTGTAACATGATGCAAGGAGTCTGGAAAACTCGGATCCCTAAACCGTAAACCCTACACCCTAAACCCTAAGCCTACACCCTAAACCCTAAACCCTAAACCCTGAGCCTACACCCTAAACCCAAATCCAGCAGAGCCGAGGTCAAAACCTTGAATAGCCACAGAGCAGCATCAGGTGGGAACACCGTTTAGGGTTTAGGGTCTAAGGTTTAGGGAACACGGTGTTATTAAAGGAACCCTGGAAGGAAGCCTCTTGATAGCCCCTAAAGGAGCCCTGAAACAAACCCTTATAGTAAGCCGTATAGTAGTTCTTAGAGTAGCCCTTAACCCGAAACCCTAAATAAACCGCACACCCCTAAACCCTAAACCCCCCTATAGGCACGGTGAGCAGAACTGAGGTCAGTGCTCCACCTGCTTCTCCACGCGCGGCGGGAGGGGTACCCCTCCCGCCATCTGGCCGAGGGGTTCCATCTACACGACTGTTACGGAGCTAGGTTCCAGTTTAGAGTTTAGGGTTCAGGGATGTTCAGGGTTTAGCCTTCAGGGTTCAGGGTTCAGGGTCTAGGGATTATAAGGTCTAGGAGGCCTACTCAATTCCGTAGTGGTAGTATATATGATTAGGGTTCAGGGTTTAGGGTTTTCGGGGACTCAATGCCAAAACCCTAAACCCTAAACCCTAAACCCAAAACCCTAAAGCCTAAACCCTAAGCCCTAAACCCGAAACCCTAAACCGTTTCGGGGACTCAATGCCAGAGTGGTAGTATGCATGGGCCCTCTGGGTGGCAGCGCAGTAGGAGGCCTACAGGCCTCTTCCAAAGGTCAATTCAACCACTCGTGCCACGACGTAGCAGACCCCGAAACCATAAAGCCCATAATCGCTAAACCCCAAAACCCTAAACAAACCTTAAACCCTAAACCCCAAAGCCCTAAACCCCCAAACCCATAGCCCCTAAACCCATCGGACGCCACACCAAACTTGAAACCTCAACCCTAACCCTATATATGCCTTCAACCCCACATGGCGAATTCTAATTACGCTGAAGGACCAGGATCCTCCTCAAAGGCTTTGGGTTTAGAGTTTAGGGTTTAGGGTTTAGGGGGCTCCTCAAGAAGCTCACATAAGGGCCTGAACAAAATTATCAGACTTTTTGTGGGTTTACTTAGGGTTTAGGCTTTAGGCGTTAGGGGTTTAGGGTTTTCGGTTTAAGGTTTAGGGACAGACTTTTTGGGGTATACGATTATCTGATATAGCAGGAACGCCAAGGAATCGTATAGGTGACTGCTCAAGATTGTTTCATACACCTTCTAAGTTCGAGAACTCCGCACGCACATCACTGGTTTGGGCTTCAGGTGTCTATCGGCCTAAACCCTAAACCCTAAAACCCTTAAAACAATAGCATCGGGGTGTTGAAGCGCTTAGTGCTTTAGGGCTTTAGGGGTTTTTGGTTGCGGTTCCTTTTGTTGACTCTTCGACTCCTTCGACATCCAAGTTTAGGGTTTAGGGTTTAGGGTGTAGGGTTTACGGCTCAATGAGTGTTACTACTGCTGCAGCTAGTGCGTCTGGTGTTGCTTCTGTGCTGTTGCTTCCTACCAAATTGACCGCAAGTATTGCTGCAGCCAGCTCTTGCCACCGATGCAAGTCCGAAAATAGGGGGCTGTAATATAGTACCCTAAATAGTAATAGTAGGATCCTTATTGTAAGGACCCCAGAATAAGGTACCCTTATTTTCGAAAAGTCCCATATGATGATGTTGCTGGCGCTAGTGAGGGCAAAAGCATTGGTGATGTTGGTAATGACGATGACAAGGGTGACGGTAATGACGACAATGCCGCGACGGTTGTGGTGGTGGCGGTGGTCGTGGTGGTGGGTGAGGCTGGTCTGAACGACCACATGTATGCATGCATGCATGTATGAATGTATAGCGATGAATACCCTAAACCCTAAACCCTAAACCCTAAACCCTATTGAATAGTCTTCCTGGTGTGGTCAGTCTAAGATTTTGTAATTTTGCGAAGAAGAGCAAAAGTACTGGTTGCAGTCGTCGTCATCGCCGGAGCGTTCTAGAACCTTGATTCCAACTGAACCCCATCCACCCTCGGCTACGCTTTCAACCCTAAACCCTAAACTTTAAA